AGGGCTACGGGCCAGCTCACCCGGTTGTTGTGCCGGGCCTGCTCCAGGGTGGCCGTGAAGAGGAAGCAGCGGCAGGGGACCCCCGCGTCCCGGGCACACTTAATGTACCTGTGGGGGCAAGGAAGGGGCCAGGCTGGTAAGGGGCCCCGAGCCCCCGACCCCCCTCCCGGGGCCACCCCCTGGGACCCCGGTACCTGGCCCGGCTCGGAGGGTCTGGGTTGGTGTTGTCGATCACGACCCGTTTCCTTTGCTTTAGAGCCGTCTCGCACATGGTCACACAGCGCTGCCACGAGCCCAGCGTGTCCTGGGGGACATGGGGGAAGACCCCTGAGCGGGGGGGGGGAGACAGGGATACAGCAGGACGGGGTGTGGGGAGACCCTGCAGGAGGGAGGACGGCAGAGAGCTGAGAGAAGCCCCCAATCTGGGGGGCGGGCAAAGGGGGGGGGAGGGGACAGGCAGGAAGGACCACTGGTGCCCCTGCCCCAGGCTCACCCTGTTCACGTGGACGTAGCCTGCCGACACGAGGTGCTCCTGGAGGAAGGTGGACTTGCCAGCTATGGAGCAGGGGGCAGGATCAGGGGCAGCCCCAGGACCCAGAGCCGCGAGGGGGCTTCTGCAGGCCCGGGGTCAGGGTGTCTCACCCCCAGGAAATCCCACGGCGACCACCACTTCAGGGTCGGAGCTCAAGAGGGAGCTGGACTCAGGGAGGTAGAGCGGCCCCGAGGGGGAGACGGTTCTCTGGGAGGGGCGGGCACAACGAGTGTGACCCCCTCCTCATCCCCCCGCGCCCCCCACTCCCGCCCCAAGGGCCTCACCGGGTCAAAGGTGGGGAGCACGAAGCTGGCGACGGGCCACTTCAGAAAGAACTCCTCTGGTGTGGCGAAGGGCAGGCCAAGGTTGAGCGCAAACTGGGTGGGGGTCGGAGGGACACAGGTGTCAGACAAGGTGGGGACATGGCTCCCGGTGAGGAGGGGACAGGGGCCTCACCAGACGGTCTGCACAAGAGAAGTCTTTCTTCTTCCGCCCAGGGGCCCAGTTGGCTGGGCGTCCAGCTGCATCTGGACAGAAGACACACCCCCTTGTCCAACAGTGACCTTGGGGACAAGCTGCTGGCCCTGGGGGACCCACATACTCTCCCCACCCCTGGGTCCTTACCTCCCACGAAGACACTGTCCCCGATGGAGATGGGCACACCCTCGTTGGCCTGGGGAGGGACAGGTGACAAGACCGCAGGCAGTAAGGAGCCCACTCCCGCATCTGTTCCCCCAGAACACTAACGGGTGCCCCGGGCTGCTCGGCTCCATCCGTGCCCTGCGTTAGGCCTGACCTCTGGCCTTCCGTGCCCCAGCCCATCAGCACGTCCTGTTGGCTCTGCCATCGGGCCCCTTCTCAGCCCCCTTCACTGCCACCACCTGGATCCTGGACTGTTCCATCCTGGCTGCCGGGCTCCTGGCTTCTGCCCTCACCCATCTGTTCCCCATGCGGCCACCAGAGGGCACCAGTTCCCACTTCCGGAGATTCCTCTCCCCCCAACGCGCCTGAGCACCCTCTTTGCTCCCCCGCTGGGTAAAAGGGAAGGCCTCACCTGGCCCACCTGGTCTGACACCTGGCAGCTCTCTGACCTCACGCCCCACCCTCACCCCATCAACCACTCCGGTCCAGCCACCGAGGCCTCTTCATGGTCCCGGGACACACTAGTCACAGCCCTGCCTCAGGACCTTTACACTTGCTGCTACTCCCACCTAAACCACTCTTCCCAGCTACCCACATGGCTCCCTCCCTCACCAGCTTCAGATCTCCCAGGGCACCTGGGAAAGGCCTTACCTGACCACTGTAGGTAAACCCTGCCTTCCCTTGCTTCATCCCTCCCACTATTTTACACCCCAGTCTGTGCGTCTATCGCCTGCGCCCTCACAGGTATGTGAGCGCCCCAGCCGGTCTGTCTTGTACACTAACCTTCAGTTCAAGAAGCTGTGGAGCTTCAGAACAAATGCACACACAAAAGAACGCATGAATGACTGATGTGTCACTCAACCACTCTGACCTCCAGGGTTGAAAAGCGCCGCCCTTGCGTACCAACAGAATGGGACAGGTGGAAACAGGAGGCAAAGACCAGGGGAGGAGATGGGAGGGAGAGAAAGGAGGAGGCCAAATACCAGAGATCTGCAGGGGGGAAGCTGGGCAGAGTGAGGGAAGAGGGGAGCCACGGGGAGACCGCCACTCACCTGCTCCTGCAGATGGTCCCACATGCCGATCACCGGCTTCCGGTACAAGCCGGCGTGTGTGGCCACCAGCACCTGTGGGCGGGAGTTTCACCATCCTGGGCTCCTTCCCGGAATCCTTCAAGGGCTCATGGGTCCCACGGATGCTACCCCAACCCTCACCAACCCAAAGAGAGCTCCCGGGGCCCCGCCCCTCCATCTCCCCCCGACTCTTTTGCCTTCTCCCTGGGTCTCTGTTCCCTCCTCCCTGTCCCTCACTCTATCTCCATCCCTGCCTCTGTCTGGGTCCCCATCCCCCCACCTCCACAGCCCTGACTCCCTTGTAGCCACACCTGAAAGGGGAGCCCCAGCTTCTCCACCACAGCCTCCACCTTGGCCTTGAACTCCTCTGCCGGCAGCTTCCCACGCCCAATGGCCATCTGGTTGGTGAAGATCACCAGCTGGGGAGCACATGGATGTCACCTGGTGCCTTCCTCCCCAGGGCCCCAGTCTGCCCTGCGGCCTGGTGACCACGCACAAAAGCACACACACCTTGTAGCCCTCAGCATCCAGCTCCCGGAGCTTACGCGGAATCTCGAGGTACAAGATCCTAGGGCAGGTGGGAAAGTGGCAAGGTGACCTGGGGCCCCATGGGGGGCCCCCCACTCACCCCCTTCTTCTGCCTCTTCTCACCTCCAGTCGCTGGGGCCAGTGGGAAAGACCTTCCCAGAGCGTGTGGTGATGAGGGTCCCATCCAGATCAAAGCCGGCCACCTGACGTCAGCAAGAAAAGAGGAACAGCAACCCCATTACGCCTCCAATCCCTGGACTCACAGGCTGCATCACATCACCCCTGCAAGGTAGAGACGTTACCACTCGCTTGTCACCCAAGGGGAAATTGAGTCACAGAGAGCCCACACATCTTACGTAAGGGCAAGGCATGGCAAGGATGGGTCCCCGCCGGGGCGCCTCAGTCATTAAGCGTCTGCCTTCGGCTCAGGTCATGATCCCAGGGTCCTGGGATCGAGCCCCGCATCGGGCTCTCTGCTCGGCAGGAGGCCTGCTTCTCCCTCTCCCACTCCCCCTGCTTGTGTTCCCTCTCTCGCTGTGTCTCTGTCAAATAAATGAATAAAGTCTTAAAAAAAAAAAAAAGATGGGTCCCCGCCACCTGAGCGCAAAGCCTAAAAGCTTCACTGTACCGTCTCCTATTCCTCCTAAGCTCCTGGGTCTGGCAGTTTTAAAATGGGGTTCATATCCTACTCACGCACCTCCCCTGGCCTTCTCCTCAGAAGGCTAACTGTGAAAATAAACACAGGAGTGAAGTTGTTTGGGTGCTAACCACATGTCGGGGAGTGTGCCACATGCTTTTCACGGGTTCATCATTTTACTGGTGAGACCAGTGGGGCTTGGAGCAGGTGGAGTGATGGCATGTGAGCTTGGGTCTCCGGAGCCCTGCTCCAGTGGTGGTGGTCACTGCTGGGGTTCCGGTGGGTCAGGCAGGCGCGGACATACATCGATTCCCCCAAGGCTTACAACAACCCCTGAATTTGTCATCAGGTCCACTTCTCAAAAAAGTGGAGTCTAAGAGAGGTTGAAGAACCTGCGCGGGGGGTCCCCAGTCTGTGTGGCTCCCTCGGCTTGGCCCTCACCTTGCTGCGGGGCTTCACCCCAGGTGCAGTAAACACTAGCAGCTTCTCGAACTTCTCCCAGCCGGGGGAGGACTTCCGCATCCGCTTTTTCTGCGGCTCAACATCCTCTGCCACGTCTGGAGCCACCGGAGGGGTGCCGGGCGGAGTGTCTTGCTGGGATTCAGGCGTGCAGACCTCTTCCCAGCGCAGCGTTAGTGGGTGGAGGCCGTTGACCAAATACAGTGTGTCCCCCACACTCAGAGAACCTTCTGACCCAGGAGTTAGCTCCTGCGTCCCAGCAGTTGAGGGGTTAATTCCCAGCTGCAAAGGGAGAGGGAGGAGCTGGGATTGGCTGCGTCCCCCACCCATAACCTCCTCTAATTAAAGACCACCTGGGGGCGCCTGGGTGGCTCAGTTGGTTAAGCGACTGCCTTTGGCTCAGGTCATGATCCTGGAGTCCCAGGATCGAGTCCCATATCGGG